CAATCCCTTCTCCTTCATTCTCCTCTCGGGATCTTGGGCATGCACGCACACACGCCTGGTGTGAGTTTTAAGCCACCGGATCCGGGACGTGAACTGTGGTCGACTACATGGGAGTCCAGCGACATAGCCATTACTGAGCTAGGATGACACAGCACTACCACCCTGTCGGAGTGGCTGCAAACAGAGGCTGGGGCAGGGGCCTGCGGCTTGCAGGAGACCTTGGTGTTTGCCCTGCTCGCCCGGGACCAATCAGAGCCCCAAGGCCAATTCTAATCGATCCTCGTAAACTGGCCAGGTCAGCAGAGGCCAGAGTGGCTATTTCAGAAAAAAAATAGCATGGCCCAAACACAGTGGGGCTCAGATACGGCCAGGGTGGCCTCAGGTCCCCACATGTCACAGAGCGGTGTGGAGGGTGGGGGAGGTGGGTAGCACCTGGCCTTTCCCGTTGGCCATTCTGCCTGAACCCCCCACCCCTGTGGCCAGCAGGATGGGCCTGTTTCTCACGAAAGAAAACAAGGCCTGGGGTGACTAACCAGAGACCACTGGGAAGTCAGGCAGAGCTGAGACTGCCCCAGAGTCCCCTCTCTGACTCCCTGGCTTCCTATCTCCCTTGCAAATAAAAGCAGAAATAATGACAATGGTGAGCACCTGCTTGGGATTGGCCTCGCACCAGGTGTGCCACACACACCCCGGGACCCGCCTTGTGAAGTAGGTGCTGTCTTCCCTCTTTATACTCAGAGGATCTGAGCCTCCAGGGAGCAGAGTGGCTGGCCCAGGGGGCTCCAGCAGCGAAGCAGAGTTGCTCAGAAAGATGGCGTCTGGTGGTGTTCCAGAGCAGGGTGGTGCGTGTGTGTATGCCCGCAATCGAGCTGGCTGAGGCTGGGAGTGGAGTGAAGCATGGAGACTGGGGTGCCTTCCTGTCTCTCCCCGCACATGTCTCTTCTATGGAGTAAGTAAACTTCAGAAAATAATAATGAAGGCCAGCTCATGGCATGGCGGTAAGGCAGCAGGATCCTACATGGCTTGCTGTGTGGTTTGAGTCCTGAACCTGGCTTGAAAATCGTGCCGTGTTTTGTCTTTCTCCGGTGAATGCACATGCCCTATAGCAAATTTAAAATAATAATATTAATAATGATAATGATTTTTTTGAGAGGTTTTTAACTTAGGGTCTGTGTGCTCGCTGGAGAGAGAAAGACAGAGACAGAAGAGAAAGTGAGAAATCACCCCCTGGGAGGGATGGTCTTCTCCTCCTGGGATCTTGGGCACGCACGCACGCACACGTGCCTGACATTAATTTCAAGCCACTGGCTCTGGGACTTGAACTATGGTTGGCCATGTAGGAATCCAGCAACGTAACCACTATACCATCTGCTGGGCCCCATGATGATGATTTTTTAAAGACTGAATATGTTTGCAATGGGTCAAGTGGGGCCCCATCCCCAGAATCCTGCCCACCAGAACAGCAGAGTATGATTTGCAGAAGTGATTAATTAAGACGGGGCCGTGGAGCCGAGGGTGGATCCACCCCCAGCAATGGTGGGCAGAGGAGAGAGGCTCAGACACAGAGACAGCAGCAAGGTGGCCACGTGGGGACGGAGGCAGAGGGGGGCGGTGAGGCTGAGAGGTGCGGATTGCCAAGGCCTCATCGGAGGCACCAGAAGCTGGGAGGAGGCATGGAAGTATCCCTCCCTGGAGCCTTCAGAGGGACTGCGGCCCTGTTGACAACCTGGTCCCAGACATTTGGCTTCCAGACTGCGAGCACACAGCGCTGCCGTCGGGAGCCAGCCAGTGTGGGGAACTGCGTCACAG